AGCCTCCAACTCCACCAGTCGAACCACACCAAATCGACAATCACAGTGCCTCGCCGGAAGGTTAAAATCCCCCCCCGACTGCACACACTACCCCCCTACTCAACCAGCGAACCACACCAAATCGACCATCACAAATCACACACAACTCCACAGATCTGTGTGAAGAAATCAAATTAAGAAAAAAAATTGATTCGCTCCACCTCCGCTGTGAACCAGCACCACCACCCCTTCTCCTACTCGATCTGCAGCGCCGGAGACAACGGGCGCTTGTGGCGTAGTGTCGGCCGGAGCAGCTCCATCGCCGTGACAACTTCCTCGTCGTGGCTGCCGGTGGGTAAGGAAGGAGAGAGAGGACGGTAGAGAGAGGAGCTCCATCGCCGTGACACTGCACCCAACTGTCGGACAAAGAGAGAATCCGGTGGAGGAGCTTCTGCAGTAACTGAATCCTCTGAGAGAGAGAGAGTCCTCATCACTGTCGCCTTCTTCGTCGTGGAGATGGTAGAGAGAGAGGCGTGGAGATGGTAGAGAGAGAGGCGGCCGGGTTGGGATAGAAATGGAGAGAGAGAGGGGTTAGGGTTGGTAAATATAATTATTTTATAAAAATATTAATTAAAATAAAACTTCTGAATTTTGAAAGAAAAAGTATCCCACCTGATTTTAGAATTCGTATCTCCAAAGATAGGGTGGGGTGTAATTTCCACTATATATAAAAATAGAAGTGTCGTCAAAAAAAAAGAAATGGAGACAGAGAGGGGTTAGGGTTGGTAAATATTATTATTTTATAAAAATATTAATTAAAATAAAACTTCTGATTTTTGAAAGAAAAAGTATCTCACCTGATTTTAGAATTGATATCTCCAAAGGTAGGATGGGGTGTAATTTCCACTATTTTGATTTATCACTCTATTTGTTTATTAATTTAATTTTATACTAGATTTTTATTTCTAAAATGTAATTTTATTTGTAAAATACAAAATAATAATTTATAGTCGAGGCAGGGACCATGTTCCCCATTCCCACCCTAATTCTCCTAAGGAGTGGCACTATCCTATTCAGGGCGAAGCTGTGTCATTTTTCCATCACTAATAAAAAAGTGTTGCATTGGCTATTCTTTAATATATTGTTTGTTATCAATAGGAGTGAACAAAAAAAAAACCCCTTCAAATTGAAGTTTCGAAACTATTGATTTGAGTCCACACAGATTTGTCAATATTTCGATTTTGAATGGAATCAATCCAATTTGAAACGGTTTGATATAGATTTTGAAAGTTAAAGATTATTAGATATTAAGTTGTATTGGCAATTTTTTAGATAAAATATTATTATAAAAGAGTCGTAAAAGTCAAGAAGTGTTTTAAAAGTTAAGGACTTAGGGTGAAATTTGTATAAATTAAGTTATAAGGTCTAGGATTCAAACATGAAAAGAGGAGAAACGCGGCGCCGCATTTTCTCTAGCTTCTCGTCTAGTTTGCGCTCGAGCGATAAAAACAAAATACATGTCGCTAGAGCGAGCCGAGCTTTCGCTCGAGCGACAGTGCATCGCTCGCCTGTCGTCGAACTCTCGTTTGAGCGACAGTACATCGCTCGTCAGTTGCTGAGCCCTTGCTCGAGCGACAGGTCGATCCGAAAAACCCTATTTTGCTGTTTTGAAGTATTTTTTCGGTTCATTTAACCTAATTACCCTTTCTTATAAACCCATGCACGAAAATTAGGGTAGTTGTTCATTGTGCCTCTTTGCTATAATCTATTCTCATAATTTTATACGACCACATAATTCGGGAAAACATCAAATCCTTGGGATCCATAACACCTACTTCCTAAACACTTTTGGGAATGCACTTTCTCAGTTGAATTTCAGATGTTGTTGGAAGTTGAGAGATGTTGCATTATAAGCACAGGAAGAGCACAAGGCATTGGAGCAGGTTCTTGGAATTCCACTTGGAAGAGACAATTGCAGAAGATTTTGAAGCAGACCTTGGAGTTAGCAGGAAATAGATTGGGAAGTCTAGTGGAGTTGGCTAGATAGCATCTAAATGTAACTCACTCTGTATTGTCTATAGTGGAGGTGGTTCCGGAGTTTTTACGCAGTTGAGTTTCTCCATCATCATATTTTGTGTCATTTACTGTTTTCCATATGAACTACGGCAATCCAACATATGATAATTGAATTTATTAACTAACCATTTAGAAACAATTAAAAGTGACTTGTTGCTTGTTAATTGCATCCGCACTTAAGGTCGAACTTAATAATCAGATTGATTTTTTCAATTACCATGGCAGTGAAGGCCATGAAGGATCATAATACCACGCCACATTGCAATCTCACATGCTCTCTACGCTATCTGATGTTTGAAATTAGTCTATCTGATATT